CGGCTTGGTTTTATATTGTGTTATAGGCCACTAAAATGTAACTTAAGTGCAATTTTCATAAAATTTTGGGGTTTGATGAGGAGTTGCACTAGTACCGTGCAACATACAAATTTGCAACTGCCACCATTTTATTCTACCCTGTCTTGGCTTTCAGGAAATATATAATGTTTTTCAGGGTTTGCAGTCATTTGCAGGCCTAAAATGTGGATTATAACGTGTGTGCAAAAAAAGGCCTTGGTCATTAAGGGGTTAATCCATGTGATTGCAGCTGTATTCATACACAGCCGTGTAATATGTTTCTCAGATCTGTTCCTAATATTTTTTTTTTTTTCTTTGAGGGATTTTCCAGTGGAGACAGAGACCTCCATTCATGAGTTTGATCAACTTTGCCACTGCTGGCCTTTTCTTCTAAAAATGCTCATTGCCTGGCTTTCATTTGTTGAATAGCTTTTACTACTTAAAAGGTGCCGACCTTTATTTCTACTTGTTCCAGGTTAGTGAATCACAGGGAGATCAATAATGGTAGCCCAACCCCAAGGTTTATTTCATTTTACCATAAACCACAAATTGTGATCTTCAAGTTTCAATCCTGTACAAGTCCATACTAGAGAAATCCACAGAACTAAATGGTATATTGATCAGAATTCTGCAAATGTTCAGCCTGTCTCCCTCTGTATGTTTATGAACAATATGGTGATTCTGGTATAAAAAAAAAAAAAAAAGGTCTTGATTCAGAATGAGACAAAGAAGTCAAGTGCTTAGTCCCATTGCACTGTATTAGTGTAGCAGAACTGGTTGTTGCACTCCCATTGCATATTACCGGTGATATGAGCGCAATAAGACAACCTTGTTTATCAAAGATAAGCATTAAAAAAAAAAAAAAAACCAAATGAATGTATTATTGTGAAATGCTAATTACATATTTATGAAAGTGGGAGATATATGGTTGTAGCCTTCACGGTTTTATTAATAAATGTCTTCCCATATGGTCTGCAAGGACTTGTTCAATACTGATGAGAACCAGCTTTGTATATCAGGTGAATAACACGCAAATTAGAAATCCAGATGGACTGCTGATTTCAGTAACATTCTTCATACTTATAAAGTGTCAAATGTTCCAATCATATACCACTTAAAGTGGCACTATACTCAGGATTTATATCTTAGAAATTATTTCAAGTACCTTAACTATTAACAGAAGTGTATCTCATTTATGTATCACTCGGCTGTAGATCCCCAAATCATCTCTGAATTGGTGCGGACACTGTCCTTCCTTCTGGAGGGGGGCTACTTATGTTCCCCATGGTTCCTGTGTTTTGTGGGAAAGTAGTCACCGCTCCAAGCTCACTCCCGTGATGGACTACAATCTCATGTTTAGTTTACTCATTTCTATTGAGATTATAGTCCATTACAGGAGTGGTGGCTACTTTACAACACACAGGGACCATGGGGAACAAAAGTAGTCACCCTCCAGAAGGAAGGACAGTGCCAGCACCAATTCAGAGATGATTTGAGGATCTACAGCTGAGTGATACACAAATAAGATCCAACTCCTGTCACTTTAACACTGACCACTCTGAATAAGCCAAATCAACAATTCCCTTATGGCCCCCATAGTGTCCAGTTTGGTTTTAGGCTCCAGCTAGGAAAATGTAAGATGGAATCTGATGAATTGCTGGGAACTTCTGCAGGCCTTTTATATTTAAAATGTCAGCGTGATATCAAAGTCCCTGAAGCCATATTCTTGTCGCACGAGTAAATGAGACATACATCTTTGTGTTGGGAGTGTAATCTCTATTTTAATACAAATACAACAAGAGGTCATAAATTAAAACAGTTGCTGAACAATTAGACTTCATAAACAATACAGTACCATCCCATTTAAAAATTACAAATGATTCCTATGAAAGAAGAAGTAAAAATAAATGGATCTTTTTCAGAAAGTTAGGAAAAGGCGCATTTCAAGGGTCAGTTTACCTGAACAAGTCCTGGTTCAGGAATCAGTTTTGGCTACATTCATCATACATGGAGCAGTCATGGGTTTGATTTTAAGGCACACAAAACGTGCATTTAGTGTTTTGTTAATACAGACACCCTGGTGCATATATTACTGTGGAAGCGAAACATAAAAGCTGATCATATCAATGGGACGGTTGTTGTATAACAAATAAACAAACACTCAGCCATTACATGAAGGCCATTCTCAAAATCGTTTTTCAACCTTGCGGTTAAGCAATACAATATGAACCAGCAGGACCATCAGTTAGAATAGCAGGCACTGTTCAGTTGCCAGAACATACTTTCCAATCGGCTAATTGAACCTGTCTGTCCCATTAACCCGGGGGACATGTACTGTGCAAATACTAGCTTTAAAGCAGGATGCTACATTATTAAACAGGATCTATATAGTGCCAACAGTTAGTATTTTACTGAGGAGTGTGTAAATAAAGCACCGTGCAGACAATTCACTGCATTGTTGGAAGTGTATTCTTAGGCACCAACAAAAGTATGTATATGCAAACTGCATGGAGCCAGAGTTCATGTCATTGCATGGAGAGCTTAGTGTGCCCAAATGAAACGGTATGGATTGGCATATTATGGTGCGTGCTATTGCAAGATCATGCCAGTTGATATTATACTGTCCCAACAATAGGCTGCTACAAGCCTAAACCCACATTTACAGCCCTTACAAGTGTCCAAAGCCAGGGCTCCAAAAGCACACCGTACAAATCTTAGAAGCCGTATGGCTCCGTACAAACAACCGCTCAGTGAAACTCTTGCTTAGCACATTGTCTTGCGGTGAACTACCAAAGTGTGATATAAATTGTGGTCTTCTCAAACATGCTCTTCAGCTCAGATTAGCATCGGTTCACTAAAGCGTAAACCATCAGTATTTACATAGATTCATTGTAAGATTTCACTAAGGTCTAGTGAACAAAGGAAAAAAAAAATGGAGTCATTCCAGGTAGAGACAGAATGAAGACTTGCGAGATCAAATACAGATTCATGAGAAACCGAAGCTTTCAATAATATTGATGAACTTAGTTTGATCCAGAAAGGATATAAATAGAAGATAAACCCATGTAAAAAAAGAAAGACTCAAGTGGCTTTGTGAATTGGATGTTACTGTATGATCTGTACATATATTGGAAATGTGCAGGAGCTTCTCTGTCACTCACAAATAGGGAATAGAATGAAAAGCTTCAACCCAGCCAACACATGTCTAGCATGCATACATGATCAATGACAGAGTTATTCACAAAAGGGTGAAGAGTTTGGAGAATTGAACAATCTAGGACAACATAGCTGATTTGGAAAAATTCTCCAATTCAGCTCACTTTCCAGTTCAGCTATGTTGTCCTAGATTGTTCACTTCTCCTGCCTTCTCCAAACTCTTCACACTTTTGTGAATAACCCTGTCGTTGTCTGAAGGTTAAAAAGGAAAACTATCACATCTTTTGCTGGTGTCTGTGGAGTGCAGTTGCTTCAATTGTGTTGACATGGCTACGTGTACACACACGAAAAACAACCTTCTATATGTACTGAGGACATTCTCTATATCATTAGATAATCTAATGTGACAAATTCAAGGAGACATAACCAATAGTTAGAGTGGACCTAAATTCAATGTGGTCCCAATGGGCACCAGCTCACTTCCTGTTTGCCCTATTAGCCATGGTAAAGAAACAGAAGGACTCAAATCCACAGATTCAAATCATTCACCATAGCCAAGAGGGAAAGCAAAGCAGTGGCCGCTGCAACCCCCACACTCCAGGACAGGAGCAATGGCAGCCTCAGAGGGACCAACAAACCCTAAACAATGGATTTCTGTATTTAGGTCCACTTTAAATTTAAGCAGAACCTACCACGTCAGAGCTCATTTCACTGTCGCTGCCCCTAATTTGTGCCTAGCTTTCTTTGCTATTCTCATGCTTCTTTACTCAACTAGTGACTGACCCAAATATGCAGGTGGGGAGTTGGGACTACACTAGATGCATTCTTGTAGTGGGCCATTGACCCATAAAAGCAGCAAAGCTGAGAGATGGCAAGGTAACAAGATATAAAAGCAAACAAACAATAGCAGTGCCACAATTTCTGATCCGACAGGTTCCCATTAAAGAGCTAGTCAATTCTGAAATTATTTTTTGTTCATGGATAGGTACCGAGGCAAGGTGAATTACCTACTGACTTTTATATCTCTTAGGGAAGAACTCCAAAGTTCCAAATTTGGCCTTTAGTCATGAAGCCCCCTTCCTGTAGCTGCGTTAAGTTAAAAGGTATAATAGTAATCCAAAAAGGAAAGCTAGACCTGGTGGATAGTAATGGTGAGGGAGGTGGAGGGCCCTGAGATCTCTCCTTTAGAGTCATTGACATTATATTTTGTATTATCGGTTTGGGACTATGCATCAGCTATATGACTTGGAACACATGTTATTCATTGGAAGAACTTCACAAACAAACCCTGATTGGAAACATAAGTGAATAAGGCAAATGCATGCTGTGCTGATGAGTTTTGAAATCATTCGATTGACAGTAAGGCATTAGCTTTTAAAAGAGAAGTTAAGGGAGCACTACTTAGAAAAATATTGTATTCTGATAACTGCATTAAAAAAAATGTAATGATCGTTTTCAGTAAAGGAATAGCCGATTCAATGGTCTAAATATTTACATACTATACAAGCTGATAGTGACCAGCGTTGGGACACAGTAGGACAGTCAGGGATGCTTACAACAGCCACCCTTTATTCCCATGGTATAAATCTACTAGAAAAATGAAGCTAAAAATGACTTCATATACCGAATACGATCTTTGTATGCATTAACTGCCTACATATAGTTATCAGAACAAAAGATTTTCTGCAATAGTGGTCCAAAAATACAAAACCGTTTTAAATAAAGAAAATAAAACATTCTTCAAGTCCCACGTATTTGTGCAGAACGACGCATCAGCTTTCTCTTATGCGAACAATGTCCTTTTTCAGGTTTTACCGGTCAAGACAAAAGAACTTTGAAAAATGTATTTCAAAAAGTCAATGTGATGGGGAGAGCTGTTATTTTAAAGTTGGATTATCGCTGTCCTCTGCTTCTTGACCAGCCGCCTGCTTGTTCAGTCCAACTAGGGGGTTATCAACTGTTAAAAAAACAAAAAAACAAATTAAACTACTGCATCAGAACCCCCATTTGGTTGTCACAAAGAAGCAGATTTCACAAATAACGACCACAAGGTTCCAGCCTATATGAGCTTTATAACAGGCCACTTCTGGGGCAATGACATATGAAAGTGCCACTCACAGCAACGTCCCAGGTGTCGTTCTTCTACTACCGGTTTCATTTTCAATAGAAACATTTGGTTGCAAAGCTGTCACTCACGCAGCTGGGCGGATCCAGACAGAATTGTCAGGATACGTTTCAGTATACTGCGAGCACATTGTAGCTCGCGGTATACTGAGCTTAGGGTGACGGGAGGACGCTAGTTTGTGTCCTCCAGTTACTGGGGAAAAGCCCTGACCCCATAGTTCTCTTTTAAGCATCTAACAGAATATAGATGGGCATGCTGAATACAATTCTTAGCACCGACTAAACATAACAATACAAATTCTATACACTATGGAAATAGTCTACATTACAATAACTATTGTTCGGTTAAACTTTATAGTAATGACTGACTAAAGAAAAAGTTCCAATAGCTAGAAGGTCATTTTAACGTAGCTCAGGGCTAGCTAAAGAAAAGCTGAAATGATTAAAGCAAGATAAAGCCAAAAAGTTTACCTTCCCATGCAAAGAATCAAAATGCATACCCTTAGTTATGATTCAGATTACTACAAGTATCCGTTGGTGACTGGTTCTCTTTGAAATTTAGGCCACCAAAGTCAGCACATACCCCTCAATGTTAAAGTGGAGTATTTATGCAACCACAGAAATGTTGAGTGGTATGTGTATCCCAATCCAATGTAATTACACAGCCAAAACAGCGAGTGGCTTTTCAAATAAATGAAACCGATTCTCAATAAAAATGATCATGTTTTGGCTTTAATATTCTTATCCCGTTTTTCTTGTATAAGACATGATGATTTTAGGCACCAGAAGACCTCCAAAACACATCCCCCGACTCCTAATCTTGTGAGAAATAGAGATAATGTGTTGTAGAATATCAACTTCTGCTGTTTTCTCCAAGCTAAAACCAAGGATGTCCTTCTGTTGTGACCCCTCATGGTTTCCCTCACCGACTTGGTGGACTGACAAATGGTGGAGTGCGTCACATTCAGGAAGATAAAAGCCAAAAATACCTTTCAAGTTCTGACTGTTGTCATTCAGCTGAGCCTGTTTTTCTGCCTCAGGTTCTGCTACATTTGCTTCATCCCCATTGTAGTCATTCGGGTTCCCGGCATTTTGTTCCTGTTCATTTTGTTTTTGGCCTTAAAAGAGGAAAGATCTTCAATTAAATCTCATGCCTGTCAAGAAGCAGCATGAAGGTTTGTCCATGTGTAATGGCCCATGATGAACGGATGCATACTAATGTCAGATTTAGTTCTCATCTTAGATCACATTGGTTTCATTGCATCAAAGTATTTGTGTATAAATAATAGTATATAAATGGCAGTAAAATGGATTAAGCAACAGTAGTATGGTATCCTTCCTTTTCAGCACCACATGTACATTGGAATGGTCTACTGTATGACAAACTGTAAAATCTCTAAACCTTGTAAAAATGTACATAAAATCAGGACCATTATGTATGCTTTGCGCTCTACACTAAGCTTCTCTCTGCTTTTACACATGGCACCAACACTAGGTAATGAAACCTTGGTTGTCTGTGTGGCTGTTCTCTCCCTGCAGTGATATTATAATCAATTCTCAGTCACTTTTTGTGGTATAAAGATACAATTCTACAGCAATACTAAATAAATGAGAAATAAGCCTTACAACTCAAGTAGGAAGCTAAATACTCTGAAGTGTAAATGGGGAAAGTGTAATGCAGTTAACCGTTTACACACACACGGTAGCGGCCATCACGTGCTTTAATGGAAACACTCACAGCATATGCAGTGGCACTCTGACCTTTAGGAAATGCTTGTTACATTCCTGTCTGGGCATGGCAGCAAGTGACAGAGTTTTAAAAAATGTGGTATCCCTCAGAGTTTTAAAGAGTTTAATTTCTGAATAGAGCATTCAGAGATTTAGCTTAATGATTTTAAAATACAAATTTCTTAATTGTTCATTAAAGGACACAGGACAGAAGAAAATCTTAGACAACTGGGTTATGCTGCTGTTTCCAGGAGGTTGGCCACTAGCAAAAAAAAAAAAGAAGCTGTGAATCAGGAAAGTATAACCCCTACCACTCCCATCATGTTCTAATTTATCGCTAGCAAAATAAGTCTTCTCTCCTTGAAGAAAAGAAGACCCATTTATTTCTTACTTTATCAAGAACCTTTTTTCTTCTTCTATCAAGATTCTACAAATGCTGCAGAGCCAGAAGTGCTCAGCTTTCCAGATCATCTGATCTTCAGCATAGCCATTGAGACTGTACCTAGACCTTGCTGTGGAGGAAGTGGGGCCAGCCTGTAATATGAACTGCAGGCACTGGGCTGTGCGTGGGTGCTCGCTAACCACTTGGTGAAATGTGAGTTAGCTGTTGTGTATTACAGCCCAGGTCCTGTAAAGCCCTCGTTTGGGGGAATTCCATCCCTGAAGACTCCATTGGAAGTATGCCCACCTAAAGGGCAAAAACGGTCTGAAGTGTACACATGTGCCCTGCCTGGAATCTCATTACCAAGTACTCAGGCTTGCCCCTGTCTTTAGAGCCTGGCATCTTCTCTTCGTATCCCCACTGTCCCTGGTTACATTGCTATCCGTGGGCTGTGACACAATGGGCTGAATCTGGATCAATTCTGGAGAATCAATTCTGGAGCACTGCAACCAATCAGCTTCTCTGTCTCATTTTCAAATCTTACCTGAGCAAACTGAAGAGTTGCTGATTAGTTGCCATGGGCAACTGCTCCAGATTCTCTCTGCTCCAGTTTTGATAAATTCCCTCCAATGTGTCAGACACTCGAGGGCGACACCACACCTCTCTATGGTTAAGACCCACCCACTCTAAGCCGTGACAGCAAGGGACTCCTCTGCATCTCCCACACTGCCCGTGAGATCCCAGCCAGCTCCTTGCAAGGTTGAAGATCTGTCCTCCTTGCTGTTGCCTTACAGTGACCAGGTCATAGACAGCAATGTAACCCCTCCTGCTTTGGCAGTGGTCATTGTGAGCCCATTTGGTGTTTCCTCATTTACATGCTCCCATTATAGTGGCTCATAAGTACAAGGGAAGCAGTCTGGTGGGCCTTTCCAGCTCAAGCAACAGCTCAGCCTAGATCACTGTCCCCCCATTCGCTCACACTCCTTCGGGTCTTCCCTAGTTCCCCAGGTACTGCCCCCTCCTCACTACTACCAGGAAGGCATTTTCTGACAGTCAGAAAAATGTCGCTATGTGAAAAATGTTAGGGTGCATGCCCTTTGAGGGAGAATTCCTCTTCATTGCATCTCAATAATGGGAGTAAAGAGCTCTCTTGCCTCGGCAAAACTGCACAAAACTTCTGGTTCTCCACTCCAGGAGCTGTCCAGTCCTTTATGCCCAATTCCACTTCAAACCAATGCAACCCAACATTCTAGGTGTGTTGGACAACAAGTCTCATTTTCTAGTTAGCCTGGTCTTTGGGTGCTTTGGGCTATCTGTGGCCTGGTGGCCAACAACTCCAGCCCTGGAGGCTTACAACTCCAGCCCTGGAATTAAGAAACTTCAACCTTCCACTAGCATCAAAAGATTTCATGACAGATGCCAATCTGACCTGCTGGGGTGGAGTTCGACACCCCGACAGTGCAAGGTGCCAGGATGCTGGAAAAAGTTTGACTTCTGATCAATGGGTGCTTCAGCTATCCCTTCATTACTGGACCTCTCAACTGCAAGGTCATGAGACCAGGGCTCTGTTAGACAATGCCATGGCAGTGGCTTACGTCATCCACCAGGTTGGAACCAGGATGTCTCGGAGCTATCAAAGAAGCCAACAGATTCTGACTCCCGGCTCTGTCCACCATTAACATTTTAGAAATGGGAAAAAGTCATGCAGACTCTCAGTTGACAATGTCAGGACCTGGGGGAATGGTCTCTTCACCTGGAGGTGTTTCACAACCTCTGTCATGGTGGGGTATGCTGGATGTGGACTACTGGCTTCCAGATATAAAACAAAGTACAGAGATGTGTATTGCCCTAGAATGTTTTACCGGACCGGTTTGTGACAGCCATTTATGACCAGGTCCATAAAAAGTATTTTGCAGATCTTGGGCCAAGTAGGGTTTGAGGTTTCTGTAGTCCATTGTAATGACGCTTTATGTCAATGTGTTTGAAGTTGGACTCTAATGTGCTACCGCTCTTAATCTCATGTCTGTGCTAGTCATTTATATCTGGCTGTTTTGTCACCAACTTGTGCATACTGGAGAAATGAGGTTGGCACTGTGTGCACTACAACATCCTCATTATCATTACACAGCTCACTGCAATATTGTACACCATGTGCCTGCCAGTCTAATTCACAAAGCACTATTAGAGGAACCAGCTTTATTGCATGTTTAGAGAAGGAGTGGAAATTATGCAAACACAATTATCCAAGTATAACATAATCTGGTGCAAAGTTGAAGACGACCAAATGAAAAGCGATTAAAGTTATATCCTGCCAGAGCACTCACTGGAAGTCAAGTTAAACTTGTATTTCAGGTAGCACATGCCACAGTTAGCAGTTTACCACTGCAACAAAAAAGAGATTCTACTGCTAAAACTAAAGCAAATTTACTTGGGGCATATATTCCTATGACAATAGTAGCTGTAAAGCAAAAGTCAAACTCTCCCTTCTCCAAGTACTTTAGATCCAAGGTTCTTAACATGTAATGTACTGTATGTACTCTAATGGCTCCTGTAGGGGGTACATGGTGCTACTATGAAATGTGGCAGCTAACAAGGAAGTAACATATTTATTAAATGCAGCACAGCTGTGTATTATAATCCCTATTACTCAATATTTCTCCAAAGCTTAGCAACCAACTGCCAAGAGATCACAGTGGCTGAATCTGGCTGTGATGGCAATTAGCAAAACAGAATGAAGATGCTTGTGGGCTCCATAGTAAGAGTGCCAGGCCTCCTTCCTGCAGGTTCCCTCCCAATCCAGAACCTGGCTTTTAAAACCTACATTGTGCTCCACTCCCTTATCCACCACTAACATGCATACCACACAGGAACTAGAGATAAGTGGATTTAGGAAAGGACAGCCAGATGCGGCTGAGAATGGGGGCATGGGGTGTAAGCTGTGGCTGCAAGGAATTGCATTGGATTCGTGGGAAATGTGACTGTACAATCCCCTTAATATCCATCATAAAACTATGCTTTGCATGGGTCTGCCTGATTTGATACTAATGGAATTATTTATTTGTTTAGAGCTGTATTACTATGTAATGCTAAGTTTTGGTAAGTCTAAACAAAAAAATTGTACAAAGATTAAATAATCAGATTGGATTAGTGTATGGCTTAAATTCCATTTTCTGCTATGTAGACACACACGTTTTGAATTCAATATGTGAAAACCTTTAATCAACTGTACACCATTACAACCTGGTTTTGTGTAAATCAGATTTTTGCACCCTTTTAAAACAAATGTAACTATTGAAATTTGGAACAGATTTAAAGGATACCTGCTCTTTTAGAAGTACTGTACCCAATTTTATTTTTTTTACAGGAGTAAAACATCAATTTGTTCTATGATTGCCTTAGAGTATATCTAAACCTAAAGAACAGAAATGTAATATATTGCAGCTTACCAGTCCATAGATGTGGTGCCTGCATTAGTTTTTATTTTCCCCTGGTGATCCTGCCAGTAACACTTCCTGTCCTAGGGCGACAATGCTCACTCAGTGTACTTAATCTATTGAGGAGCAGTATTGTCACTCTAGGAAAGGACTACAGATCCTATGGATCAACTGTGGGCATATGGTTCTGTTATAAAGGTTTCTTATTTTTCTCTCTTTTATTTGAATTCGATGCATCTGACTGACAATGCAAGGACACCCCATGAGTAGGTAAATCCATCTTGAAAACGTTTGCTTACTAACACGCCTTCTATAAAGTATTTGATATAATTAAGTGCAAAGGTTTTAGGATAAAAATAAGATGCAGAGAGATATAAGAAGGCAAAGGAGATCCACCAAGAGTTTCCCGGAACTCCTTAAAGGACTCGGGGGAAAAAAATGATCTTGACCCTTGCAGTGCAACCTCTGTACGGCAAGGGTTGAAGTGCTTGTTTTCGTCTAGTAGTGAAAATGAAGTAATATACTCACCTGAACCTCTGAGCCGACTGGCTATTAGCCCGGTCCCTGGTGCCTCACTCCCCCTCCGCTCCAGTGGTCTAAGGTTCAATGTATTGGATGCCAGGATGTCGAGGGACATACCATTCCTGGATCAGAGTAGCAGCCAGGCCCAAGGTTTAGGCGAGTATAGCTATTATTTATGCTCCAAAATGAAAATGAGCACTTAACCCTTGCAGTGCAGAGGTAACCCCACTGCAAGGGTTAAGATAATTTTTCCATGGAGTTCTTCTTTAAACTTAATTGCATATGGATGTTAGACTTGCCTTTATCATCTTCCTGCTGACCATCTAGGTTTACTAGATGTTCTCTCTCCACTTCATTCTCTTTATTGGTTTCTTGGTCATCACCCTCTTTATCCTCTTCTGCAATTATATTGTCAGGGTCATTTTCATTTTCTGGCTTCTGTACATTATCTGCGTTTTTATCCTCTTGCTTAGACTTCTTTTCCCTCACAATCCGTTCCACAATTTCTGTAATAAAGACAAATATCAATATAAAAAAAAAAAAAGACATCCCACAGCATACACAAGCTGCTAGGAATGCTGTAAATATACTTTAATAAGCATACTGATCTGCCAGCAGATGTATACCATAGGCTTCAACCTCTGTCACATTCAGGACTGCAGATACACCCGACTTTGATCAAGCACTAGCTTACCTGGCTCAGTGCCTGAGCAAAGATGTCCATTACTTGGAGTTCAGAAGATAGTCCTGCAACTACTCTGGTCTGCAACTATGGTTACAGCTTGACTTGTTTATGGCATCTATTCCTGGGCCAAATTCAGCTTGTTTTCCCAACATGAATGAGATGGACTTTGAATGCAATTAAGAGCTCAAGCTCTCCTTGAATTACTTTAAAACATTTGGTTCAGTATGGGTGTCGTAAAAGAATCTTTACTGATAGGATTGATGATATTGACTTTAAACACTCCTCTTTACATAGTCTCCAGAAAGCTCAAAAAGGTTTTAAAATTAAACCCGTTTTTATAATTTGTAAATAGATTACACCGTGCTACTGTTTTGTCCAGAGGTTGTTTTTTCACTACTTGGTCTTTCATTGCAGCTGTCACTATTTTACAATTTTGAGGGGTGGAAAAGCCATAAGCACGAATATTTTTGTTTAATATCATTTGTACATTACCCACACTTGATTGTTAGCAATACTTCAACTGACTGCACTGCTAACATAAGATGGATAATGCATTCCCAACCAGACAGATTTCTGACAAACTAAATATAATGGAGCGGCTTGGAACATGCAGATCAATAACAAATGAGTACTGCACACCCCTGGATATCGGAGAACGGTGTCAGCCTTCTTCAGTTTCAGCAGGTACCACGTACATGATAACCCCACTGCTAGTTACTACTCCTCAAATAAAGTGAAGTTTCCCTTTTTTGAAATTAAAATGGCAAACTAGTCACAATATATGTCTCTGCTCTAGGAAATCCCTTACGCCTGTATTTTAGGCACATGGTACACTTTCCTATATAAACAGTTTCAGTTGTTATTTTTCTAGTGAAATTAAGTTAAGAATAAAGTAAATCTGATTATGCTTCCGAATGTCACCTAGAATTTTCTTTCTTGCAGTTATACGAGGCATTATTATATACCACCACAATAGTATGCACCTCTTTAAAAATGAATCGTTCCCCATGAGGCTGAAGAAGCTTAACAATTAATAACTTCATTTTTAGTGAAGGTGTCCTTTATGGACCCCTCTTCCCTTCATAGTGGATTCCCCAGGGGTAAATATATAGCTGAAGTCCCACATCAGGAATCTACATTGTGTGGCTCTGCTCAGTGAAGTATAGCCTTTCCTTAAACGCACAGTCAAGGCCAGGCCTTGCATCCGCCACACAAGTGTACTGTGGCCGCCCCATTCCTAAAGACAGGCATATTCTTGTACTCCACACGGAGTACAGAGCCATCCTTAGAAATGAACAGAAACTGAGGTATGCATGCAGAAAAAATCTCTGGAGTGGGAGTTCTTGTTCCATGGCACCATCACAGGCATATACACTGCTGTTTTAATGTGGACATAAGCCTACAAACCTTCCACGGTTTCGGTTTTTGGGTTGTGGAGAGTAACTGCACCTCTGAATGAAAGCCCACAGACTATGAGGAGAACATACAGAACATTGCAGACAGTGTACTTTGTAGGAATTAAAGTGTGTTAACGCCTTAAAAACCATCCCGCTGAAAATCAAACATCACAAAGTAACAACGGGAAAAGTAAAAAACAAAATATTTAGAATTTAAATATACAGTCGACTTGCAATATATTCTGCATTTTGTACTAGAAAAGACCTACCCTGATTTGCTGGAGGAGGAATAGCCGCGTTCTCGTCTTCCTTGGAAGGTGGAACAATTTCAACTTCTAGATTGTCTTTAGATTTCACTTCTTCCTCCTCTTTTTGCTCGATAATCTCTTGTTTTGTGGTTGGCTTGATAAACATAAAAGCACATTATTGCTCACAAATGCATCCTTCTATGTATGATTATTAAAAACATAGACGTGTCAGGTGTAAAATGCTGTGATTTTGAAATACTTTCAAAGCAGGAAGTGAATGCTCTGCAAGTGTAAGGGGAAAATGACCAGTTTGCCAAAGCAATGCACACTGGGATTGCCTCATCAGCGGAGCATTGCTAGAAAATCTCATCTGTAGTCTCAGGAAAAAGCATTTTCCTCTCCTAAGATGATGTTCATGGCCACATGCCCTAGTCACATGTGCCAGAAATCCAGGAAATAAAAAAGGAGAACTAGTAATCTGCCCTTAGTAAACATGGCCACTGTCAGAAGACTGGGGAGGAAAAGAGAAATGTATGCCAAGAATAAAAAGCCTGCAATTATCTAGAAGTATGCGTTTGTAGATTGTCATTACTAAACAATGTGTGTTTTAAAGATATGGGTAAAGGTCCGCTTCAAGTGCAAGATCAGAGCAGTAGTCAAATATCAAATAAAAGAAAACTTATAATACAACCCAACATTTAGAAACGGCTACAATACCAATTACAGACCCAGTTATATAAAATGTTTCAAGGGATCTCTTTAGCACTTGAATGCATAGAAAATAAAATTAAAGATGGCATCAAGAGATAGATATGTTCTGCATGCAGCTTTGGGTTCAATAATCCAATCCCTACAGAAGGCAAGTACAGATGGCCCGATCTTTCAAGAAAAAGGACCAGTGAGAGGAATCCGCCATCATTACAACAACTGACCCCAGTAGGTCTTACTCAGACTCCGGCAACATTAAACCCCATCACACTGGCAAGGACATTGATTGGAAAATCTTTGCAGTCGATAAGCACTTCTATAGATGGCATATATTTGCTTTATTAGCAAGACATGAATATCAATGTCATTTAGTGTGGCAAGATTGCTTGAATCTGCATCCAAGGGAATTCATAAAAAGTAAGATATGGCCAGTACAAAGGATGCAAGTACAGGTAGTAACTAGAGGTGCACCAAAATGGAAATTTGAAAACCGAAGCAAAACAAAAAATTGTCAGGCTGAAACTGAAAATGTTTATTTTTTTAAATTATTTTAATATTTTATATTTAATTTATCCAACAGCTGCAAAAATAAACCCTAGTGGTTCTGCAGCAATTGAAGAATCTAGCGAGAAGAAAACATGTCTTAGGGTTTGCTTCCCTTAGAGCAGAGAGAAGACAACCATTGTACTATGGCTACTAGCAAAAAAAAACAAAACTGAGGCATGCTTGGAGCGGGAGGGGGTTATACGGGGCTGTCCTTATAGCTTTGTCTTGCTCACTCTCCTGGAGGTAGCAGCTGAATCCAGTGTTCCAAAATACTAGCCACTGTCCCGTAATCTACGATCAAGAAATTACATTTTGTTTTTGGGTTTAGCTATGCTTTAAGAGGCATTGGTACAGAATTTGCTGGTTGTGACTTGTGCTCCAATTTTTATCCTGCAAGCTTTCATATGGTAAAAACGGAATTGCTTTCCTACCTTTGGTTTTTCAGCCCCGGATATAGTTTTTTCCACGTTTTCTTCATTCACTACATTTGCCCCTTTCACACCTGCATGTCGAAGCCGCTCTTCACATTGCTCTTTTACTTCTGATATCTTACTGCTGCACTGTGCTCTAAGAACAAAAAAAATAAGCATATTGTTTAGAAATGTCAGAATATCAGTAAGTGAAAGAAATACTTCACTGGATCGTTGCCAAAAGGCTAAGAAGCGATGAGTGACAGAAGTAGGTTTCCAGTTTAACCCTTGTAGGGGTTTCAACAGGTGCAATGTTAAACACTGAATTTCTGCAACTGCCAAAAGTACATATTTTAATTCCCCTACAATGTTCTACATGTCAACATAGATCTTATTTTATAAAATTTACTGGGGGGAAAAAAAAAAAACACTTTCTAATAAAATGTGCAGGCCATATGGTCTCCAACACTCCAAAGTTTGCATGCATTGTACTGGCTTAAAATGTAAGAGAAAGACATTGGGGGGAATTTATCAAAACTGGAGCAGAGAGAATCTGGAGCAGTTGCCCATGGCAACCAATCAGCATCTCTCTTCAGTTTGCTCAGGTAAGATTTGAAAATGAGACAGAAGTTGATTGGCTGCAGCGCAAATCTGCTCCAGTTTTGATAAATTCCCGCCATTGACTATATTGAAAATCATACAAAATGCACGGAATGCAACGAATGCTAAAAACTGTAGAACACACCTAAGAATGAATCATAAAAAAAAAGGACTGCGCTACAATAAGCTAAAAGTACAATCTTATAGTCTTTACAATACTACTATGCAGGACCACCCTGTGGTGAATACAATAAGATGCAAAAAAATGATATTCAATGTGCTTTAAAAATCATTACAGTGAAAACATCTGATAGCAATTGAATATACAAATTCTTATAAATATCACATATATTAAGTGCAAATCAATTATCAGATCAATAAATCCAGTGAAAAGTAGATTAGTTCAGTGAAAATTGAATACTTCCAATCCTGTGAAAATATTCCGGTGAAAAAACTATTCATTAATATCCTAATACTTGTAATACCACACAGCAATATCCACTCTTGTGTGTCCTGTGCCCCAGTGCTCTTCAATTCACCGCCTGTGTACAACTGCCAAAAATGCACACTTACCAGAACCCAATGACCTCTTAACGTTTAGTGCAGCATGTAATTTTCCCCTCAATACGCCTCCACTTCATACAACCCCACTGCCGCTACTCCAAAGGAAACCTGTTGACCTCCAAAGCGACTTGGAGGACCTCCAAAGAGGCTCCGATTTAGACACTCGTAGTGCAGTATGTATTAAAACCTGTGCTTTGTTAGAAAAGTAGAACACTCGCATTTAAAAGCAGTAAACAATTGCGTATATCTCAATCGTCGGTAAAGACTTTCTCTTCACTGCTCTCGGTTGAATAATAATAAACTACATACTGCACTACTCCTCCGAGCCGCTTTGGAGGTCAACAGGTTTAGATCAGAAGGATTCGTGGGGGTACAGTAATTTAGTATCATAGTACAGTGTTCCTTTACCCAGAACAGCTCTCACATATGTAACATGCCTGCTATAGGCATGTTCATTTGGCAACAACTTTGTCATTGCTTAAAGTGACATTAAAGTTTAAAAAAAAAAAAAAATTCCCTCACCCCAATGTTAATGTCAGCACTTACCTTATATGATGTCTCTTAATCCGATCTTCTTTCATGTCATTTTCAGCCTTCTCTCCAGCGCTGCGGCGGGTGTCCGATCCAGCGCTGACTCCTCTGTCCTTGCTGGCACTTCCTGTCCCACGGTGTCTGCATGCGGGTGCACGCGCCCATAGACTTACCTTGAGTCTCTCCTAGTCCGAGAATCCGAACTGCGCATGCGCCTGCCCCAAGATGCTTTGCGGCCGCCCGAGCAGTTTCGGATTCTCGGATGGGAGCACATGGCGAAGACGGGGGAAGTTTAAACCGCTTTTAAAAGCAGTTTTTTTTCTTTTTTTTCCCAACACTTTTTGCATATATCTACTGCTCGCTAGCAGTAGATATATGCAAACAAAACAGAGGGTTTAGAAACCCTTTAAGTTTTTTTCAAATTAAAATAAGGCTTTTTTAAATCTTAACAGTAACAAAAAATAAATAATTTAAATGGTTAAAACAAACAAACACAAAACAATGGAAATACGCATCCTATGTACTTCAATTTAGTTTTTTGAGACATGTGTAGCACGCATAGTGTCCACAACTGGTTAATAAATAAAATAAAAAATGGACTGG